CTTCCCAAACAAATACAAAAGTCTTCAGGAAAAATACAAAGCCATCCAAAGTGATAAAAATCTAATTCCACAGGGAACAACTAATACAACTCCTCAGAAAATGAGTATTTTTATTACATGTTCAAAACAGTCTTGCGGTTTGAAATCATTACAATGAAACAATTAAACAACCGGCTCTATGAATACAACAGTTCTTTCAACTGAGACGATCTATTCTGCTTTTACCTTTCAGTAACATAATGTCCATTTTGAGTACACCATTTAATACTGTTGCCATTACCAGAAACCTTGAGCATGAACAGAATTTTATCCTGAATTCTTGTCAGGAATATGTTTTACTAGGGAACACACAACATAAAGAAACACTTGTACCAAAAGCGACGGCTAACAAGAACTCAAGGTTTCCAGTAGAAAAATTTCAGCTTGACATTGTGTTTTATATTCACAAACAGCAATCAGTACTGACTGTACTTAGGGGAGGCAGTTGCTTTTGTCTCTTTGTATTCCTTTTGTGCCTGCTAAAATGTCTTTTTCTGGCTGACTAGGGCAGCAAGCGTCTTTTAATGCTTTAACGCTTTCATTGGAAAAGCTGTGTTCTCCCAAAACAAAGAGTTTAATAATTTTATTTTTCTTCAATTTATTAATTAACAATCTACCTAGGTAGTTTGTTCCATACACACCAAGACTATGTATGGAATAACTCCATCAACAGAAGAGAATATGCCTACAAATCTGAAGACTCTCAGATGCAGGACTCTGCTCCTGCTCACTGATTAGCACAATGCCTGTCAGCAGCAGGGAACAGACCACATCTACCTTCTATACTCATAGCTCCAAGAGAAAGGGAGAGGAGAAATTTGCGAGTTTATATTGGCTAAGTATAGAAATATTGCAAATGCTACTACACAGTGAAAAGAGAGAAGGTTTTCTAGATCATAGAATAGCCTGGGTTGGAGGGGAGTTTAAAAATTAAGATTATATAGTTTCAATCCCCCTGCTGTGGGCAGGGACACATTTCACTAAATTAGGTTGCTCTGAGTTCCATCCAACCTGGCCTTAAACACTTCCTGGGATGGGGCAGCTGCAACTTCTCTGGGCAACCTGCTCCGGTTCCTCACTACCCTCACAGTCAAGACTTTTTTCCTAATACCTAATTTAAACCTACTCTTTTTCAGTTTGAAACCTTTCCCCCTTGTCCTGTCAATACATGCCTTTCTAAAAACTCCCTCTCCATCTGTCTTGCAAGCTCCCTTGAGGTACTGGAAGGCTGCAATTAGGTCACTCCAAAGCATTCCCTTCTCCAGGCTGTACAATCCCAATTCTCTTAGCGCTTCCTCAAAGGAGAGGTGCTCCATACCCCTAATCATCTTGGTGGCTCTCCTTTGGACTTCCTCCAACAGGTCAATGTCCCCCCTGTGGTGAGGACCCCAGAGCTGGATGCAGTAATCCAGGTGGGCTCTCACCAGAGGAGAGGGGCAGAATCATCTCCCTCACCCTACTGGCCATGCTTCTTTTGGTGCAGCCCAGGATGCAGTTGGCTTTCTGGGTTGCAAGTGCACACTGCTGGTTCATGTGCAGCATCTCATCCACCAGCTGCCCCTAGTCCTTCTCAGCAGGGTTGCTCTGATCTGTTCACACCCCATCCTGGATTGATACCAGGGGTTGCCCTGACCCAGGTGCAGCACCTTACAGTTGTCCTTTCTAAACCTCATGAGATTCCCATGGGCCCACTTCTACAGCTTGCTCAGGTCCCTCTGGACATCATCCAGTCTTTCAGGTGTGCCAACTGCACCACTAAGCTTGATGTCATCTACAAATATGCTGAGGGTGCATTCAATCCCTTTGTCTAAATCATTAATGAAGACCGGTTTTTCTTCCCTTTGTTCCTACTGCTATGAAACAAGATGGCAAAATTGTTATTTAAAGTTGAGGTGGGTAAAGACAGTAGGAATGCCCCAACTAGTCATATAAAAGGAGAAATACTTCAGAAAATAATTCTGTAAGATATGTCCAATATGCCAAATGCACACCAAAACAACAACCAAAAAAACCCCCAACAAACTAAAAAAATAAACCCAACACATAAAAAACCCAACCAAATAAAAAAACCCTCTGCTTTTGTCACCTTCAAACAAGTCCTCTTTGAACAATTTTTACAGTCAAATGCTTCCACTAAAACCAAAACATTATGTGAAACAGAAATAAACAAGCCTACAATGGTAGCAAATCAAGCTTGAGGAAAAAAAAAGTTTGGGTAGAAAGACAGAACATTCTTCACACAAAATCATAATCCATAACTACAAATTACCTTCTTCAGTAGGAATGCAAACACCAGTTACTCTTGACTCATAGTCATACTTTGAAATTGCAAATAACTCTTCAGTTAAGTACATGGTGTATCACTTCAAATGCATTTGTGAATCGGCTTCTCAGTGTATTAGCTATATTCTTATTCATGTTTTACAAACAAAGTAACATAAATAAAATCAGAGTAGCACAAAGGCAGATTTCTTCCCCAGCTCAGCGTAACAAATGCAAATTATGTTCACAGTATGTTTAAAAAACCCTAAACAACAAGTGCCACAAGTCTTTTGTCTTACCATTGCAAGTTCCTCCTGTAATTCTCTGCAGGTTTTTTCAGTATTCCCTAGTTTTTCAGAGAGGTCTTTAATTACCACCTCCTTTTCCTCAATCACTTCTTTCATTTGGTTGTTTGAGGAGAAACACTCTCTTTCTAATCTGGAAAGTTTCAACATAAGAACATTTTTATCAAAATTCTTTTGTCAGGTATACAAAATACTTTTAGAAGATATTCAGTGGGTATTACACGGGTTAGCACATCATGTGGCTTCTGAAGCTGCTTGCCTTATTTATTTTTTTTAACTGAAGAAACTTATATATTCCTTCTAAGAAAGACTTTCAAGTTACGGTTATGTTTTTTCCATTTACCAAGTAAAGATACCTTGTTAGACTTCCAGTCATAATTTAATTTGATCACTTGGGCATGGCTTCCAAATTACATATAATAAGCAGAATTTACCATATTTTAACACATTAGTTCTATTCAGAAAGACAGTGTCACATCTTGCATGAACTCTGATTTCAAGTACAGAGCTTGCTTCCAAAGTTTCCATTTACCTGACCATACTCTACTCAGAATGGCATGACTTCAAAAGCACACTATCCAAAATCTCAAACAGTTCCTGTACTATATCAGCCCTCCTGGTACTCAGGAAAACAGTACATAAAAAGCCTGGTATGGATAAAAAGCAACTCATGAGAAAACTACAAAGCCAAACAACAGTATATAGGAGACACAGGCATGGGGAGGAATCCATGGAAAAATTTAGAAGGATTGCCTGCGTATGCAGGATGGCATCAGGAATGTCACCATGTGACAATGTTTGCAAAGGATGACAAAGTCAATGATTTTACCACCATGTTAAGGCTGTAAAGAAAACATGGACAGGCTTCTACACCAAACAGCAGAAGAAGGTCACCACACTCAATGCCTTTTTTGCCTCAGTCTTCTCTGACAAGGTCCTCGCCCAAGCCTTTATGATCAGTTAGCGGGCTCAAAACGGAGTACGATCACTAACGGTACATGAAGATTGAGTCTGAGATAACTTGTGAGAACTCAACCTATAGAAATTGAAGAGGCCAGCTAACCTACACACAAAGATTCTGACAAAGCTGGCTAATGCCACAGTGAGATTGCTCATTATCTTCATGATAGGTCAGAAAAACTGGGAGAGGTCCCTGGCAAATGGGGAAATGTAAAAGTCATACCTATATTTGGAGAAGGGCAAAAGGAGAAACCAAGGAACTATAAACCAGTTAACTTCATTTCAGTCCTAGGAAGGCTATGAAACAAGTACTTTTGAAACAAATTTCTGAGTTCATGAAAGAAAAAAAGGTGATTGGGAACACTCAGGGAGGATTTACCAAGGCTCAATAATGTCTGGCCAACCCAGTTACACTCCATGATAAAATTACCAGGTCTATGAACAAAAGTGCAAGAAGATTAAATCTAACTCAGCTGTAGAAAGGATTTCAGTGCTTTCTCACACAGTGTTTTTATAGCTGTGTTAGGACTTCAGTCTAGATATGTGAATACAACATTGATAAAAGTGGTTTGATGGTTAAACTCAGACGATAGTAGCTGGTAACAGGTGGAATACTGTAGCAGTCTGTATCAGAATCTGTTTAACAGCTTTATCCATCACCTGGATCAGGCCAAGAGTGCAATCTCACAAAGACTGCAGGTAACAGTGAACTGGGTGTAGGTAGATGATGACACAATACAATTGGTACCCTAAAGAGAACAGCTACCATTCTCTAGACAGGGAGGAAGACAAGGCCCCCTAAAGTGACATGGCTGGGAACTGGCTGGGAAGCAGGTATGCACAAACAGGACCTGCTAGCATGGTACACAGACACAAATTAGCAGCATGGCATACAAGGAGAGATAGCTAACAGCATCCTGGACTGTATTAATAGTAGCATAACCAGAAGATCAAGGGAAGCGATTAATCACTTTTTATTTGGCAGTCATTACAACACATTTAGGATAATGACTGGTTTAAAGTACACACATGCACCATAACACAGGGAAAAAAGTTTCAGGGAGCAGTCACCAACACGGTCAGGGTCTGAAATACATATTAAAAAACTGAAGGAACTTGACATGTCTAAGCTGGAGAAGAGATAACTGCAGGGTATATAAGAGGGCTCCAATATCTAAAAGGAAGTTATCAAGAAGATGCAGCCAGTCACTTCACAGTAGTGTTTGGTTACAGAATAAGAAGTGAATCCAAAGAGGTTCAGACAAGGAGAAACATTTTCCAAGTTAATGACAGTCAAACAATGGAACAGGTTCCCAGAGAGGTTCTGCCATCACCATTCTCCAGGTTTTCAAGACCTAACTGGATGAAACCCTGAGCAACCTCATCTCATAGCCGATCCTGGTTTGAGCAGTAGGTTGGACTACAGAACTCCTGCAATTCCTTTGAACCTGAACTACTCTTTGATGTAACTCTTAGCAGTAGAACATCCAGATGTTGTTAATTTCTTTGTCTCTTCTTGTACCTCACTAGAATTAAAAGTAATGCAAAGGGCTCAAAGTTCTTACAGCTTTGAAGATTTTGAATCAGTATTGTCACTTCCTGACTCTGATTGGTTTCTTATAGATAGGTGTGTCTTTTTAGCTGAAGGACTATTTCACCAGTCCTTCAAATACCTATGTGCTTCTGCATAAGCCTGGCTGATTTTTTTCTTTTAGCTGTAGATGGTTACTTCTTATTCCTAAAGAACTTGCCTGTTTCAGTCCCCCAAAGTAGCTTCTACTCCCACAGCCTTTGGAAACACAGCAAAAGCAGTTCCAAATTATTCTATGTCATGCTCTCACCCTTCAAAAAAATAAATTCACACAGAGACACAAATCCCAAGTTGCTTCCAATTTACATAGTGCTACTGGGTTCAGAGCTAATAAATAAATTATGCAACCCAGAAAAGCCTGTTTGCTTAGTTTCAGTTAATATAACCTTTTTTTTCTGAGAAAATAAAAAATTATGCAACCCAGAAATGCCCGTTTACTTTGTTTCACTTATTATAACCAGATTTTTACTCAGAAAATAAATTCTCACAGCTTTATACTGTTTCCAACTTTGGTATTATTTACCTACATTAAGTCCAGCTAAAGAGACATACCAGTGTTCTAGAACAACAAATGAAAGTCTTGAAGACTTTCACTTGACTAAGTCTTAACGACAAACTCATGCAACTCCTCTAGAAAAAGGAAAAATATGCCTGGATGCCAAACTATGGCTTAAAAGAAAAAGCCAAGATCTTGACATTGTCTGAAGTCCAAGGACCAGAGCCTTCAAAGGTAAGTAGATCAAAGGCTCTTATATTCTCTCTGAAGGTGTCCAGTGAAAGCAATCACTGGTATTCACCATGTTACTGAGACTTGCATGCTTCAAAGAATAAAAATGGCACAGGAAACAGATGAGGCAGTACATGCCCACCCCACATAATTACCTCAAGGGAACTGAGTAGATTTATGTCCACCTCAGAAAAAGCTTGACCTTCACTACCTATCTTTATAGATCTCTGGAAATTTAGGTGTCTGGACTAATAAATTTGTAAAGATAGGTAGTTCCTCTTTCTTCTGCTCTATTAACAAAACCACAAAATGTTTTAACTGCATTTTAACTGCTAACTTTCATGGAAAGGTTTGCATTCTCTGAAATCAGAGAAGATAATTTGCTTTCAAAAAATTCAGTTGGCAGAGGCTGCTAGGAGTAATTGCGTGAACCAACAGATGATTGCAAGGAGTGAGAAGTACTGTTTGGATATTAGACAATATGTATTCTCATATCCAATTAACAGACAGAACAGATGTTTGAAGTAGGCATAAATTCTGTTTCGTACAAAAAAAACCCCAAAGATAGGAAAAATATGCTTTCCTGAAAAGAAACATTGAATATAACTACACTGTTCAGATGAAGAAGGGAAGGGTTTTTTAAGGTTCTTCATGCATTTTAGCATCATAAGTACTTCCTTCTCTGTAAACACTAATATTCAAATTCCTAAGACAAATGGCACCCTAACTGCAAGAACTGTATTTCATAGTCTTAGCCACAACAAATACACATATACAGGTATTTCCCACAGCAATTCCAGACAAAGAAATATAGTCCCTAAAAAACCTTTTTTTTCCCCGAGGATGAGGGTTTTGTTTAAGAATACTTCCCATTTTTCAAAAAATATAATTTCCATGGATCAAAAATATCTTAAACACAAAATCCTTCAGTTCTAAAAGAAACAGCTTCATACATCCAGATAAAAGATTCTCATAAGGAACAAAACATTACTGAATCTACAATGAAATTCAATTTTTAACCATTATCCTTATGTTGGTCTGAATAATCTAATACAGGAAAGTATCTTTAGCAGTTTCTCAGAGACTTAATTGGAAAAATACTACTTATGGATATTCACCATTTTTAACTAATATTACTAATTTTAAATTTGAAAAGAAGATCTTGAGGTAGAACTTATAAAGTTCTAATGGTTTAGAAAACTCCTAAACAGATGTTAAAGCTACCATTAAAAATGCTGCTAATTAGCTTACATTTTATCTCCATTATCACCTCTTGATTCTCAGAACATATTCACAGTAACAGCTCCCTGACTGATTACAGAAAGCTTTGCTATGGCAGCTATCTTATAAGTCAGGACATTTTTTTCTAGACTGAAACCTTTTTCCATCTTAACAAGCATTAGCCAAAAAAAAAACCAACCTAAAAAGCCCCATGTTTCACTTCAGGATGATGAATTTGGCTGGTCTAACCTCAAATACACAGATGAACCTTGGAATATTAGCCCTAGAAAGAAGTGAAGAAATGGTCCAAGAACAAACACTGCTATAACACTAGTTTGTTTAGCCCTGAGAAGAGGCAGCTCAGGGGTGACCTCACTGCTCTCTACAACTACCTAAAAGCAGGTTGTAGAGAGGTGAAGGATGGTCTCTCCTGCCATTCCTGCAATGAGAGAACTAGAGGAAATGGGCATAAACTGACAGAGAAGATTCAGAGTAGATGATAAGAAAAACTTTTTCACTGTTACAGTGTTCAGGCACTGCAATAGGTTGCCCAGGAAAGTGGTGAAGTCACCAGTCCTGGAAGTATTTAAGAGGCTTCTGGACCTGGCACTGGAAGATATGGTTTAGGGTTTAGGGATTACAGTGAAGTGGCAGGGTAATGGGTGGGCTTGATGCTCTTAGAGGTCTCCTCCACCCTTGATGATTTGATGATTCTAAAAAACTTTTAAGCCTGGAGGGAAGAGAAAAAGCCTATTTGCAACATGAATTTTCCTACAGTTTCTGGACCAGACAAATATGGGAATCTACCAGAAAGAAAAGAAAAAGAAACCAATACCACAGACAAAAAACCTAACTAAAATGAAAAAAAAAAAAAAAAAAGGAAGATTAGTTCCTATTCTCTCTAGGAATAAGAACATACAACAACAAAAAAACCTCAGACCATGCAAAGTAGCTTATTATATAAAATTACTGATTCAACAGCCATTCCTCCAAAAAAGGCTGCTATTTTAGGGCAATAGAGAATCCTGAAATATATTTACTCGATTTCCCAGCTGTGCAGACTGCAGGCTTCCTGAAGCACCATTTTAGATTACTATTGAAATGCATTTCACACATTTTCCCAAATTTTTATCATAAAAAGTATTTCCTTTCCTTCGAGAAAAAACATTTTCATTTTCTAATGTGACTCTGGATTACCTAAATGCAGAGTCTTACATTTCGACCTCTTTGATCTTATTTTAATGAAGAGATCTAAGGTGTTTGTAATATAGCATAAGTTTCAACTATATTACCAAAAACATCTCTGTAACCATGAATATAGAAAGACACTCTCAGGCCACAGGCTTCCTCTTTTGTAGGGATGCCAGTTTCTTATTTTCTCCACTACTGATTGTATGAATAAGTCACATAGGTATTTATATACCTATGTGAACACACCCACATAATCCTAGACTGAAAGAGATGCCAACTCTGTCTTTTTCAACCCATTCTACTAGCTTGAGTCTCTTCCCACAGCCTCACTGTGCACCAACCACTTTATGTCTTCTTAAACTCACTTTTTCCCTAAGTTTCACCAACTACTACTCAGTCTGCTGTCTTCCAACATTCCTCTTCCTGACGTTTTCTCACCCCAATATGAGCTCAATTCAGCCAAGGAAGAAGACTTAGTACAGTGCCTCCTGTTACTGCCCAGGGAATATAGGAAAGCCAAAAACCATCTATTATCACAGGCACAGCTGAGCAGGAAAGGAATCCCGGGTAATTTCATCTGCTCTCATACACTTCGTCCCTTTTTCTATTTTTCGTTACCTAGTTAAAACTCATCACAATTATTCAAAAGCTGAAAATAAAGATTATCTACTATTAACAATACACAACTTCTAGACAGGAGTCTTAGCGATTCACCTACCTCACTGAAGTGAAAAGCATTTTCATAATAATGTAAGTGTATACAGAATTAAAAAAATCTGTTCTAAACCTGTTACACTACAACCAAACATACTGGAGACAGTACCCTAACATATCTATTTTTTTCAACATTTTTGCTTTGGCAAATAATCGGTCACAGATCAGTTATTTTCTTTACCCACCCAAAATATGTATGGTTATGGACCTGTTATTAATAGAGTGCCAGGTCCCAAACATTGGCTTGGTTTGGGACACTGCATCAGAGCATGTTGTTTTATACCGACTGAAACTGTAAGAGAATGTACACTATAAGCGGTACTCAAGCTGTCTGCTGCCATTTTACAACAAATTTAAAAGGAAACTTACACATTGAGTTTTTCCAAGTTCTTTTGGGCATTGTGTTTTTCTCTCTCATATGCATTTTCTAACTCTTTGAACTCTTTCTTGATCATTTCTAACTCTGAAAGAGCTTCGGCTTGTCTGTCTTTTTCCAAACGCACAGCTTCTTCAAGTTCTCGAATTCTTAACTGCAAAGTGATAAGAAAGCAATTAAAGCAAGTTAGGATCTTAGTGCTGGTTTATGTTCTGTTCTGCTTTACAGAAGAGTATATGCTATTAATTCTACATGGAAGCATATGCACATGTAAAAGTATTGAACACATTTTAATATGTAGGAATACATAAAGTTCAAAATGGAGACAAATAGATATGCTGACCAAAAGTATCTTCTGTTCTCTTTTGAGATGTCTGGATTTTTCCATTTTCAGTTACTATTATTACTGAAGTTTTCCAGAGGAATTCTATATTTTAAATAGACTTCTGAAAGTGTGGGATTAACAATAAAGGCTACACTTCCACTCAGGAAAAAAGCACACTTCAAGCTTGTTCATGTAGATAAACAAGGAAGAAAACCTCATTAGTTTTTCACCCATTTAAGTCTCTAACTTTAAGGAATGCTATTCTCCCAGTTTATTTGCATGTTGCAAAAGCAGAGAGGAAATTAAGCACACTAAACACTTTCTACTAGTTTAATCATCACTTTTAAAATTTAAGTGCATGTACATACAGAAGATCATTAAATAATAAAATAACTAAGAACGGCAATATTTGTTTTTGGCACTCAGAAAATAAGATTCCGAAGGTACCAAAATTCCCTTTATTTTTGCTAGCTTTTCAAAAGTCCAGTGTGAAGCGTTTGTTAGTTACTATGATATTACTAAGCAATCATCATTTAGCTTTTCCAAACTCTACTTTTTGATTTTAATAAACCATAACTGCTTTACTGAGTAAAACACTGGGTGGTACAGTTTAATAATATAAGAATTTAATATTCAAGTATATATACTACATTTATTCATCTAATCAATATTTACTGGTAACTGCAGATATCATAACTTTGAAGATGAAATGTACTCTGAATGATTATATTTGGAACTGCAGTCTCAGGATGCATTAAGCTCTTACCTCTAGAGAAGCTGGACATATGCACTGTATCTCCAAACAGCTCTAAGTGCCCATTCAAAAGATACAGAGCAGGATATTTAAACAGTAATACAGCATTTAGCTATTGTGAAACATTTTCTTTTCCCTGTTTAAATGCTAGTGGGAATTCTCAAACTTACAAATGTACCTTTTTTTTTGCTATTTATTCTGATTACCTTAAAGTTCCCTGAAAAGCAGATATTCTTCTATTCTCTCCTTTTACATATTAGCTACTACAATTCTGGTATTTATTGCAAAAAAACCTATTCAGTGTTTTCAATGAAGCAAGTAAGCGGTCTTGATGTTTTTGGAGCACTGTACCTTCACAACTTCAACAGTTTTACTGCAGACTTCTACAAAATATTTAACAAAAAGTCTACCTGGATGATCTCTGAATTCAAACTGGATTCCAAATGTGCTGCTCTCTCTGCTTCAATGCTTTCTTCCAGTTTCTTTGTTCTCACTGCAGCTGCCTAAAAGCATATTTTGAAAACATTCAAGTCCAGAGAGTTGATAACATGACACAATGTCTAATCTATTCATTTAGTATATTAGGACTCCATACACCAACATGATGTATCTGAACTACTTGCACTTTCGAATTGTGAAAACTCATACCATGAAATACATATTAAAATTGTTACAGATACAGGATATTAAATTAATATTTTCTATTTAGCTAAATATATTGATGCAGCATTATGCTATTACTGCACTTTTTATAATCAAGAAGCTGGGATAAGAAAGCAGAAAGATCAAGTTAAATATTCTACCTGTTCCCTTACTATTTGCTTTTTCACCACGGTAGTCATCTGAGGCAACATAACCAGACTGTATATTCCAAAATACAGTGTTATCTACAATTTCAAAAACAAGACAGATGAAGCACAGATCTTTCCAAAATCTGCTGGCTCTGGCACCTAATTTCAAATTGAGGTGCCCAGAACAGATT